GACACTTTTCCTGTGCTGCAGCGGTGAAACCGGAGCACTCTGTGTATCTGTAGCTCGGACTGAAACTCGACTCCTGCAGAACGTCGGCTGATGAAACCCGAGGAGAATCTTTCTGTTTGCAAACTGAACTGCAGAATTTGGAGGAAGGCTAAAAATACTACACACAATACTCTCAATGCATGTACATAGAGGTACTTTGGAGTACTCTGAGGTACTTCAGTGCTTACCAAGTTCAACATGTCAGATGTTCTCTGCAAGACTTCTCCTGTAAAGTTCTGTAACAGTTTCATAAAAAAGCTGCGCAGTCCCTTTAAATCTGTTCCTCATTAACCTTCTTAATGACATCACAGGTGTCACCTGCCTGCTGGTTACAGGTGATCACGCTGTGAGGATCAGAGACCTTCTACCTCTGATCATGTCCACTGATCGATTGATTGATTGACTAATTGAGTGAGTGAGTGTCAGGGGTTGGTCACCTGTAGGCCCCGCCCTCTCTGACTCACCTCCTTCTCACAGATGAACAGCTGGTCTCCTCTCAGAAAGACAAAGCGGTTCTTCCAGATCTCTCTGAAGATCCCTTTGCCGCAGAACTTCCTGATCCAGCCCACTTTATCAGGCGGCGCGTTCTGCGGCGCCGACTCGGACGCGCCCTGAGACAAGAAACAGGAAGCCGACAGAGCAGGTGAGGAGCAGGGAAACCTGTCAACACGGCTCCAGAAGCTCAGCCTAAATCAACCTCATCTCCTCAGTTTGTATTTTTAGTCTTTGTTTATAATACTCTACTTGTGTTTCTATTCATGCTTCTATTGCTGTTTCTACTCTGTTTTCTGTTGTGTACAGACTGGGAGACGCTGATTTCTATTACTCTGTTTCTTCATCCTCACCTGTGTGAACAGACAGGTGTGTGTAGCACCGACAGAGCCCGCCTCTAACTGCTTTCATTCTGAGTTCAGCCGGTTTGGGGTCAGATGGTTGTTATGCAAGTCCATTAAAGGCTGTAACTGAAACTGGAGCTGCTGAGCAGATTAACCATCACACCACATTCAGGTCACTTTAAAGCCTCCAGGACCGGCCTGGACCTCACAGACCCTCACAGACCGGGTCACTGTTAAAAACATCACTTCTCCGTCTGTTTGTTGGCCTTTTGGCACTTTTTAAGCATCAGCAGAGTGAGGCCTTTATTATGAAAACCGGACGTGGGTTCTTGAGAAGCCTGCGGCTCTCAGCCTTCAGAATAAAACTAATCCTCGGGCTTTTGTTCTTCGAGTTCTGCTTTAACGGAGAGAGCCCCGGGGGTCGCCCTCTGTCCCGGTATCACTCACCCGTTTCCCGGAGCTGCTCCTCTTCATGCTGCCGGTGTCCGGCGGCTGATCGCGACACTTCTCCCACTTTCACGGGAACTCCGTTATCCGCTCGATGGAGACTCGGAGAGCCGTTAAAGCAGTCAAACTCCTGCAGGGGAGACCGGAGCCTCCGCCTCAGCTCCGCCGCTCCACGGCTCTGTTGCTCGGTGTCACTGTGCTGAGCGACTCGCTGCTGTGGCTGCCGCCGGGCTCCGCCGCACTCTGACCGGCCAGCAGCCGCTCCGTGCTTGGGTGTCCGGTTACTCCTCCTCCCTGTCCCCTCTCCCCGCCTGCCCGCTGGCTCAGCGGCTCATCGGCAGCCCGGAAGCGCCCCCCTCCGGCGGACAGCGGGAGTGGCCGAGAATGAGAGCTACTGAAAGCGCTGACGTCACAGGGTGGGCAGTAACGCTCGAGCCTGCAGTTCCTCTGGTGTCCAGCAGAGGCTCCGCTGCCTCCGACTGGGAGGACAGTCTCCTTCTTTTGGGCTGAACAGACCCGAGACCTGAAGCTGAGCCTGGTTCCAGCTTCAGGAAACACGCGGCACTCTCTGTAATCCCACAGACATCTGTGCTAATCCACAGCATGATGTAGATTATGGCGTGTTCACAGAGATAATCCACGAGGGTGAAATGTGTCACACAGACGCCGCCTGCGGCTGGCGAAGGAAACTGACCTCAGCCTGTGGACACAAGCGGGGGAGAGAGGAGGAGGGAGGTGATCTCTAAAGTACTGACAAATATCTGAAAGCCTCAAACTCCAAAAAATGAAATAACTGCTGGTGATTTATGGATGGAGGTGAGCACCATCAGCGCACAGCGAGCGCGTCATTGGTCAAGAAACCAAACGACTCAAATGTAGAGAAACGAACTTTAATCAGAATGACGATAAAACGCTTTCTCCGACCCTGCTCACCGAACCAACACGATCGCCCGTCTTTACTGTGCTCCATTACAGGATCTTTAATTAGTGCCCTCCTGTGGCCGTCGCATGAACTGCAGCTCGTGCTTGCACTGTTAGCATTGACCAAAACTGTGATGAAACGCGCATCAGACTGCCCCAACATCCTCATCAACTCTGAAATCATGCCATGAACTGCAGACTGCAGTTTTGGTTTGCAGATGGTGTCCGCAAACTGCAGACGCCATCTGCAGACGCCGCGTCCTCACGAGTCTGCAGCTGCTCTGCCGTCCTCGTCTCTAGATCTGCATCGGGTTGATCTGACAGATGTTTCCAGGTTCGGCTCTGATCTGGAGTCAGTTTCAGTCCCAGTGTAGATCACAAACTGGGTCACAGCGAGAGGTGGCGGCAGATCATCTGCAGATTATCCCCGACCCCATCATTAAAGGGACAATCCGCCCAAAACAACAGCAGCAGATTAGAGCCGCAGGTTCAACCCGATCAGCTCGGACTCACCAGCAGCCGACACCCACGGCCAACAGCACTGCTCACCTATAAATAATAATAAACAGTAACAATGAAAAAATAACTTCAAAAAATAAATAAATGATTAAAAAGGAAACTCTGAAAACTCAGAAATTGTTAAATTAAATAGAAAAATATTAAAATAAGGAACTGACAAAAATCAATTCAAATCATAAAAATCGTAACAAATAAAAACACCAATTGTTAAAGTAATAATTATGAAGACAACTGGAAAAGATATCAAAACATATAATAATAATAATAAAATATAAATATTAATCTAAAAATGCTTTCATGACATAAATCAAAAAATAAAAACGTATCAAAGTTTTGTGACAAGTGACCTGCAAGTTTTACGAAAGTAAAACCTGATTTTATAAACGATTTATTTTTAGTGTTTCATGAGACGCCCAATCAGATCGAAGCTGAGACTCACTGCCTTTGGTCTGTGACGCCCTCTGATGGTTTCTGGGTGAAGTGCAGCAGTGTCTGAACGATCACAAACATCAGCACAGAAACGTCATTTTATTTTTTATTCATTACAAAAAAAAATAACAGCTGGCAGCTCCAGTCAGACCAGTCGGCCTCGCCGTGCTGCTGCACACGCTCGGTTTCCCTTTAATGAAGCAGATCCTGAAACGAAGCTGGGAGGTACGGAGGTGAAACTGAAACAGGTTCCTCTGCTCGGCCTGCAGGGACCGGCGGATCCGTGATCTGACAGCGTTTAAAGGTCAAAGTTCAGACGCAGCAAAACAAACGAATCAAGCCAAGAAACTGAGATCAGCAAAAACAGTTTAATTCACCCAGAAAGACATTTACACACGTTTCACTTCAGGGGGCGCTCTGCACATTCAGCGTGGCCAAAGTCTGAAATGATGAGGTCACCACGTGTCACAAAGGTGCACGAGCTCCTCGCAGCAGTTTGTAGATGATTTAGCTCCTTTATGATCAGGACACGCTACAAGAAAAAATCAAACTTGGCAATAATCACTCCAGACGTCACAACTGATTCATTTTTCATCCCAGAAAGAAAAAGAAAAGCGGTCGCCGCACCGCGCTGCTAACATCCACACGTTTACGTGGCGTGTGAGCAACGCTGCAACTCAAACAAGTAACGTTTGCTCACATATTTGTGAAGAAAACCTTTTATTTATTAAACAAACAAAGACTTTTGGCGTACTCGTGACTTAGCATGCTAACAGGCGACGGTGAAAAGCCACGGCGAGTTTGAACCTTCACCTTCGTGCTGGATGTCCGTAGATGCTAACAGGGTTTGTTTCGGCGTGAATAATACCGTCTGGTGTTTTTGATCATTTGAAATCCACCACCATAAATCAGCACCGATCAGCTGATCGATTGGGCAGGTCGGGTTTTTTTCCTTCAAAACAGGAAGTCCGGTTTCTACATCTCATCGGCGTGTCCCGGTTTGGCCTGATCGCGCCGTCCTCCTCGGACTGTCGACTTCTGGCCGAGGGCGCCGGGTTCCGTCTGCTCGGCAGCAACCACCGAGCCGTTTCCCGACCGGCTCCCCTCCGTACCGTCTGCGGCTGCGTGTTCGTGGTTTTCTGTTGGTTCTGGGAGATTCGACGTTCCCTCAGGAGGTTTTGATTGGCTGAGAGCGGGGGACTCAGACTGCAGGGACGTCGCACCGTAGGCGTCGTCTGAGGTCGGCTGAGAGGACGACGGATCCGTCAGGATGTTTCTGGAAATCACTGGAAAGATGAAAAAATAAATCATGAGTCCAGCGGTTTGACGTGCCGAGGAGAAAACGCGACCGAAGTTATTCCTAGGATTCATTTTCCAGTCTCTGAGGCAACATTCCTGCCACACCGACAACATGAGACCAGGATTTACCGCGTTTACCTGCGTCGCCATATTTACACAGCGAGCGTCAGGAAGCGCTCGAGCGCCTGAAGAACTATTTTTATTTAAAATGTTCAATCCTACAAACTCTCAGCTTCCCCAAAAGCCTCCATCTAAACCCTGTGCTGCCATCACAGATGCTCAAACAGGAAGTGATGTCATCAGGGACCAACCTCCTGTGGGTCTGTAGTCGTCGTCTGCACGGTGGCGGCTGAACGGGCTGAAGCTCGGCAGGATGATCAGACCGAGAGAGACGAGGATGATCTGAAGACACACGAGGAGCAGGGTCAGAGTGTGTGTGTCTGTGTTCCTGTCTAGCTGTCATTGTGAGGACCGAAATCTGCATTCTACTATACTTGTGAGAACCGTCACTTGTGAGGACACACAACCCGGTCCTCACAAGTCTGAAGACATTTTTGAAGCTCAAAATGTGGTTTCAGTGTCAGGGTTACAATTAGGGATGGGTATCGTTTAGGTTTTATCCGATACCGGTGCCAAATCGGTACTTTTGAAACGGTGCCGGTGCTCAAACGGTGCTCAAACCGGTGCTTAAAGAATGGAGAACACAAA